ATTTGATTGAAGATTGCCGGGTATTTCCATTATAACCTTCGAAATTCTCGGTATCAATTAGACATGCAGGCCCAAACTCTTGAATTGACTCCACAAGATGGATGAGCATGTGAAATTTTGGTTTGTTGCACCATTGAGCTGTAAGTTCTACAATCGACTTCAAAAAAATGTCAATCAGACAACCCAGTTCGTGAAGATATGAATCCATGTTGGTTATCTCTGTCTGAAATATGTACGGAGCAAGATGAGCTAGTGCGGTCCATGTTGCACGTTCTTCCGCAGATAGTTTGCATTCAAAAAAAATGAAGGGCGCAGCCTGAAGAACTGTTCGAAACTCTTTCCCATTGAGACTCATAAAGTGTTGGATCATTGTTTTTGGTTGAATCGGAGGAATATTCAGACCAGATGTGTCAAAAGACCTCCAACGACCTTGTATTGAATCTTTTTCCAAAGCTGAGCAACTACTCATCTGATTACGCATAAGATACTTTCCAACACCCAAAAGCATCACATGTAGGACCTCCACTGGTGTATCACGATGTCCATCAAAGCCTGAAGGAGGTAAAGACAGCAATCACAGAACAAAATAAAATCAACCACAAAGACAAGACGGATAGAGAGTCTGAGCGAGATTAACCTTTTAATCGTGAGAAAGGGTTGAACAATCTTTCTCCAAATTGTTCATTCAACTCACGGCAGAGCTCGTCAACAGCACTGTTTGAAATTGATCGATCCCGATGGAAGTCCTGAGCCTTTTTTACAAAGTTTGTATTGAGAGGATCACGTAGTCCTAGCTCAGCTGATTTAGAATCAAACTGGCTGATAGTACCTGGACGCTGTGCCAGGTTCCAAAGATCCTTGGTTCCTTTCACAGTTTCAGCCCAGTCACGCCTTGGTAACGATGCCTGAAGGAATGGATTGTAATTCAGTCTCATCTGGAGCACAACCGATACACAGGGTGAATTATCTACATACCTTATTCCCGTTCTCGTCAATTCCCAGAAAGTCGCATATGTATTTTGATGAGCGCTTTTCCATCATTGACTTGACCTTCAAGTGGCATATTTGACAGGGTGTCAGTGATGTAGTTGGATTCATCGTATTTGTAACCTCGGCGTGCATGGGAGAGTCCCCTAAATGACAGAGGACTGTGGTCATTACAAAAACTTCGTTTTGAATCTTGTCATTGTAGGCAACAAATCCTTCTGTCATCAGGTTACTAGCAAGCCTTGTCAGAAAAGCATTCTAAGACATTGAAGGGAATCCCTTACTTAAGCTCGTCTACAAGTGGATCTGCCAGCTCCAAAGCGCCTGCGGTGTTCGAGGTAGTGAGAAAATGGCAGTTGTATTCTTCATTTGACAGTTTTGGAGGCAGACCAGCTAATGTGAAGTAGAAAGCTATATGTTTATTCCATCTTTTGGAAACATTTCCAGAGAGGTCATCACAATATAATACAATTGGAACATGCCGAATAATCCGAACATTTGCTCTCTTCCGCCATTCATTACATATAGGGACTTGTACAAAATTCCCCTTATCCTGGGCTTGTAGAATGAAAATCCAATCAGATACAAATTACTCGTGAATTATTTTTTGATAGAAAGTGATATATAAGTTCTCTCACCATACATACTATCCTCGCAATAATTTTTCAAAAGGATACCAGTGCGTATTTCAATTTTGTCAAATTCTCTCCAAAATTCATTGACATTGATTGTTGACAATAGATCGGAATTGAAAGAATGAATGTTTTGAAATTCGATCCGTATTCTTGAAGGAGTATCCATTTTCTGATGTGCAAATACACACTTTGCAAATATATCAGTTCCTGATCGATAAAAAAATAACGGAATTACAATCTCTTTTGATTGTAGCTGAACAGGTTCATAGATGTAAAAGTGACCGTTGTCTTGGTGCACCATCTGAACTCTAAGGGTCGGATCTAGCCTCTCTCGCCATTTTTTTGATTGTGAAAGGTTGTTGATCTTTGTGCCCAAAGCTGGTAGCTCTGGCAAGAATTCGAGGTGATCTCTAACATAAGGATTGGCGAGTTCCTGGAAGAATCACAAAACAATCCTTCAATTTTGATTTTGTGATGAAACATACGAGATTGCTTGCCTGTCTCAATATATCCTTGATTTTCAGTCTGAAGCAAGGTTTCTCTAGTGGACTCAGAGTTTCTGAAAGATTGAATTCGTATCTCTTCTTGAGGTTGCTGCGCGTATTTTTCAGACTTTTATATCCAGGCAACCTTACTCCAAGAAATCCCACAAATAAACGTATACGCTCGTACTCTAACTGGGACAGAGTAGTCCTTGTTGTACCAAGGATCAACAATCCAACTAGTTGCTACACGCACAATGATCAATCAGAGAAGTGTAGAAGTTTAAAACAATACTGGAGAATTCAGAGATGTACCTCTAAATTTGAAAAAGGAGCCCAAGTGGAATCCTCCGCATCCATAGCCTCTCCACACTCAGACTTATCCTCGGAGTGTTCTGATGTTTCATCGTTATCATTTGAGGTGTCGCTGTGATCATCTGGATAGCGTTCAATCGATCTGTCCTCATTACTGTTGACGCTATGAGACGGAGCACGAAACATTTCTGTATGATCTTTAGTCCACAGGTCAATCAGTGTTCTTCGACGTTTTTCACCAACCAGGCCATCTGGATCTGACCCCAGATCAACAAGGCAGGCTGGCTCTTTGTTATTCTGACCTGCTTCAGGGTGTAAATCTAAAAGAATTGGCTCGTTATTGGGCGTTTGCAGCGGTTCGTTAGGCTGCTGCTCGGCCTGCTGCTCGGCCTGCTGCTCAGCCAGCCATAGGCTGAAGTTCTCAACATGATTTTTCGAGGTACAATGTTTTCGAAGGGATTTGAGTTTCATCTCTCGGCTGGCAGGACAGGCTCGACAAATGAAAGATGCTTTGCCTTGTTTTGACTGAGGAATCTCGACAAAGCCTTGCAAAGTAATCTTGATCAGCTTCGGATATGTTGTTGACAATACAAAACTATTCACATTCTTCGTCATCCATCTCAACAGTCTGCCTTTAGCAAAGAAACAATCGACAGGAGTAAAAAGCGCCCAAATCAAATTCTTGACAACTCTAACTTTGCAATGTTAGACTGCTTTTACAACTTACGTTGGATTGGACAAGATCGTTTCAAGAATACACCTTTTCAATATTTATGACTGGCTTTTGCAAGTTATACTCGACAAACAAAATCGTTTAAAAGCTGCCTTTTGATCTTTGAGGCTGGCTTCCCTAAGTAGATATGAACCAAATTGTTTTGGATATCTGCCTTTTTGGTGTTCATGAGACATTTGAAACTTACGATCTTCAAAGCAATGAAATCATTTGAAAACTTTTTCGATGATTACTCCAGGCTTTTAAAAGTTTTGTTTTGAATTCTTCCTTTAGCAAAGGGAAATATTATAAGTGCGATAAACAAATGTTGGATAAATGATTGAAGGGATTTTCCTTTGAGAATTCAAAGGGAACAAACGACCATCAGAGGTCAAAGCCAGCTACCCGATAGCATGACCGCTCGAACGAGGTTTTGGAACCGCTGGTATTTAAATCAACCCAGCGGATACGGTGGGATTATTCACGGTTTTCGAGAGGGTTGATCTGACACGGATCAACAGCTGCTTGAAAGCAATCAATCAGCTGTATTCAGCCACTGCGTGTAAATGTCGGATGCCTATCCGGGGCCGCGCCTGACTCTCAGCCGCGCTTCATCTGCTGCTTTTGAAACCTCTGACCCCCTGATTCTCAATGAAAACAGGGTTCGTGGTGTATCAAATCCTTATGCATGACGTGTCCACGTTTTCGCGAATTGTGAGATTCTGGTGAGATTCTGTCCGCGAAGACTCGCACAAGCTTGATTAGTCTGATAATTGATTCAGGGTTATCTGTCCTTTTTAATCGAGTGCCAAGCTGATATGATGACAACCCCATGATAAATGTGGTATTGTTTTCCTCCCCTACTTTTAACTATTAAATACTTCCTCTTATCAATCCACTCTTACGCTGAAATGGTCTTACCGGGTGTCGAGATCCCATTGGAATCGAAGCGAAAGAAGAAATCCAATACAAGTAAAGACACAATTAAAGGTGTTGCTAGCCAACGCTTTGCCCTACTACATAAACGTGAAGCCAAAGCGTCACAAAATCTCCTTTCGGCTTTGACTAATCCAACACCTGTTCCACCGGTAAACACTAACAGTGACAACAATGACGGTGTTGGGGACGTACAGTCGTTCTCAGAAATGTTGGAAAAATCCAACATCTCGAGCTGAGGTCGTGGTCCCGAGGAGGTGACTTTTTCATGACATGTGTCACGGAAAAGTCATGGCAGCTGTCGAGTGGAGATCAGTGTCCCTTTCACCAACCTCAACTCCCTTGTGTCCTCTCCATGCCATCCTTCCTCTGATCCTCAACTCGTGTTACAATCCCTTAACCATGAAATCATACGTTTTCACCGTTTTTCTGAAGAGATCAGTCCGTTAGCCTGGCCATTGGCAAGATAGGTGTGTGGTCATCGAGGTATGATGGAAAGTAAACGAATTTTCATCTTGAGATACCTGTCAAAATCAAAGTTTTTGTCAGTGTTTGTATCTGCGTGTCCCTGCTCAGCGCACGGACCCCGAGCTCAGCTCGAGATTTTGCATTTTTCCAACATTTCTGAGAACGACTGTATATGAAAACTTATTCAGGACCGATGACCATGATCCAGCGGTGTCTGACAATGGCGAAGCAAACCCTCTTCCAGGAAGTCGTACTGAATACTATCGAAGTGTTACGTATCAGGAACGTACACTCCGAGAGGAAGCTCATTGGCGAGCGGTATTGCCCAAGGTCTTCATTGCTTACCTGCCATGTAGCCGTCAGACATACGAATGGTGTGATAAGACGTTATGGAATCAGAATTTTAACACGCCTTGCAACTGCAGGGAATGGCAAAAACATACAGTGGTTATTGATACCATCGATATGGAAAGTAAGATCAGTATCTTTATTTCTCTACACTGTTATCATCACTTTAATCATTATACATATCATTCTACTTTTCACAGGCCGAGAGAAGCTATCAGTTGAGATGTGTTCCTGCACATCGGACTTGGTTCGACTGATTTGGATTGGTTACATGGGTTGCTCCCCAGTTCAGCCAAGGACGGCAGTTTCACTTCGATTTCTCAGGTTCCACCATACTTTGTGGAAACATTCTAGTGTGCGACTAGCGGCATTTATCGGAGCGATTGATGAGTATCTCGATGCGCGAAGCGCCCTCCTTGTAGTTCCAGGAACTAATCAGGTGAGCTATGGTATATATTTTGTCAAGTATCACATATATTGATTATCTGCTCTTGATTGTCTGTTATTTGTAGACGAGAGACTTACGTCGCTGCTTTTCGGCAGCCGTTGATGCATACAGAGAGATGCTACGAATGGAAGATGAGATGAGTTTATTGGCATTGCACATGGAACCTCAAGATGCTCTTGCAGCAACCTGCCCTTCGTGTTTTGGTCCAAAGGTTCCTGGCAAGCGAGCGGACGAGCCAGATCACATCATTTGTCTTGATGCAAATTTTCAACAGAGAAGACACCTCGCAGCAAGTGCTTTGTGGCGTGGCGATACAGGTGTCTTACCATCGCTTTTTATGTCACCAGCAACGGTGATGACATGGAAAAACAAGTTAGAGCCTACTGCTCAGAGTACCAACACAGGTGCTAGCAAGAAGAGTCATCCTGCAGACGATGTGGTGGTGAGATTTCATCTCAAATCCATCATTTAGTCTGTTGTTGAAGGTTTGCATGAAACAGGACCCTTGCAGTGCGCAGCATACTGCTGCCAACGACACTCGAGGGCGTCAGACTTGGCGCGGTTGTGATGAGACTGGTCTGATGGGATTGGCCTGCCGACACGACATTCTACTCAATTTCATCAACATAGTACAGAGTGGAGAACGGTCAGTGGTTCTCCTTTGATTTCTCATGTGTATATCTCTTGCACCGGTGATTTCTTGTCTTTGCTGAAGTCATGCATCTTAATTTTTGTAGTGGATATTACCCTCTAGCTATGCTCGACTGGATCTTGCGAACTACTACGAATGAGGAAGATAAGCCCCATTTTGGCGTGTTGTATGACATAGGATGTAATATGGAAAAAAGTATCATTAAAGTAAGTGGTCATGTAGATTGTGAAGAAGATAATTTCACTAACCTTTGTTAATTATATTCGTGTGGTCAGCGGAACCTCTTTGCTGAAGAGCGAGGAGCTCAAAGGTTGAAATTCGGAACAAGTGTATTTCACTCCTACGTCCATCAGTGGGCGTGTCAATTGAAGTACAATCCCAGATTGAACGACGACTGGGGACTTTCTGATGGGGAAGGATTAGAAAGAATCTGGGCCAGTTTGACATCATTAGTTGGTGCTTTGAGGTATTCGACCAAAGCACACAGGCTATGTGCTTTAAATTTGCGAACTCGGCATACTAATGAGGGAAGGCGAAGCCGATCTAGTTGGGTATTTCTGCAACTCTCGATATTGAATACTTGAAATACTGACTGACTTTTTTCTGCCCCTCTGATATCAATAGTAAGATGGTTGATTGCTCGGTTTGTTTCTAGCAAAAAATTGCATGATGAGAGCATGCAGAAGTTGCATGCGCTGCAAAGAAATAACAATAGATACACCTTGGAATACTTCCAAGAACAGTGGACCAGGCAGCGTGATAGCCAACTGCGTGCTTTAGTAATTGATGATTCCAAATCATTAAATCAAAAACTCACTCGTCTTGTGGAATTGGAAGAAAAGTATCGAGATACAGAGTTGAGCTTTTTTATCTCTTATTGTGCCCATATGATCTGTTTTGAATGTAGTGTGATGAATCAGAGAGGAAAGGAAGACAATGCAGGCTAAACCAAGACGCCGTCGGACCACTTCTGAGAATTGAAAACTAGCCCACTTGTTAGAGACAATAGCAATTCTTGATGAGGAGATCCATGATTTGGTTCATGATCTTGGAAGTAATCATTACAGGGATATGGCTGGCGCATCCAGTTTGTTTTACAACATCTTCTCTCTTTGGTTGAGGGTGTTTCTTTATCTTACCATGCTGTGTTTATTTTTTTCCATTGCAGCGCCCAAAGGAAAACTTCTCATTAGGGTACGTGTGGCAAAGTCAAAGTTATATGGGGCAAAAGTTGATGTATTTGAGAGTCAAAGGAGAAACAATGAGAGAGAGGGTAAGGTTTATACTGTACGCAAAAGAAAGTAGCTAATTTATTTGAATTGGCATTCAGGAACTAGAATGCAGCAGTGGTCGAAGAAGCATCTAAGAGAGAAACAAACTGCCTTGAAAACTAAATACAACACATATCTTCGTAACGTAGATCAATTTAATACCGAATTTGCATCACAAACACCAATTGAATGCCCGCCTTTCAAAGACGTCCTAAGAATGACGCTGGAGAATCAGTTTTGGGACATCGGTCAGTTGACACATCCAGGCGAAGCTTGGGCTGTTGATCCAGAAACCAAAGACGGCATAAAGGCATACCTTGATATGACTCATTCTCGGGATGAATTAAGTCGGATTGGGCGTGAGTGTAGGCAAACAGCAAAATGGGCACTAGACGTTCAAGAGAAACTGTCAGTCTTATCAACCGCTCTACAGTCGGAAGGTCAGTAGGTTGTTGATGAAACTGGATTTGCGATATACACTGACCTTAAGTTCATGGCAGACGACAACCCCAAAACTGTGGCAAACAAATGGATTGTCAGTGTAGTCGGGTTGACAGGTGTGAGGCCGATTGAGCGATTGCACATCTGCAAGAAGGTTTTACATGCACTCTACTCACGGCTGAACCAGTACCACGCCCGATTGTGTATGGTGTGGGATGTGAAGATGGATGAAGCGATGAATAAAACAAGGTTGTCCAGTGGCCTATCAGACGAGCAAGAAACGTCAATCAAAACACAGTGGGCTGCGCTAGTTAGACAGAGTAAGCTAACCTGGAAGGCAGCAACTGATGCTGAAATCCTGGAATCCACTCCTTTGGATGAGGCCGAGGCAGCTGAGCTTGATCTAGAAGATGATATGGATGATGATGGTGAGGGAGTAGATGTGATGGGCTTTGTTGAATTTGATCTGATTGACGAGGAGATGGAGTAGTAAAAGAACATCTTAGAGGTGTTGAACCTATCGGATCCGATTCGAAGGTATCAAAGGTGGATGGTAGAGTTGAAGTCAATCCTAGACTGAGATGATGAATCCTAAAGATAATTACGTGCGAATGAATTTGTTTATGTGTTTGATATATAATGAGAGAGAGTGAATGTGTTAAGTAGTAAAGGTGCAAGGGCAAAGTGTGGCAAATACCAAAAAGAGATCTGGGTATCAGATACAGGGCTCAGAGCGCTCTGGAAGGTACCCAGAGCGCTCTGATGGGCACTCAGAGCGCTCTGGGTACCTTCCAGAGCGCTCTGTGAGACTTCGACTTTGTGGCAGAGTTAATTTTTTTTGAAAGTGTGGGTAATTGAAAGGAACTGGTGTATCAGGTATGATTAGCTGAAAAACATGAAAAAAAGTTGTTGTAAGATGACTTGGGGTGCTAAAAAGGTCCGCTCCAGAGCGTCTGACATGCTCTGGTGCGAAGCTCCGGCTTCCAAGCCGTTCAAAATGTGCACGACAGGAACGACTTACATGTCTCTTCATACAGGTGCCACAGGTGAGTTTGGCCCACAGTCATGCAATTTTTTTTTTTTTTTTTTTTTTTTTAAAGTGCTTTTGATTTCACATATCGCACTGACTAACTATGTATGTCTAATGTAAAACAGGAAAACAATTCTACAACTGCCTTTGGGTTCCCCTTTGTACCGGACTACCAAGCCTTTACAAAGGATTACCATGCAATGTCTTTTGTATGAAACCTCGGATAATCCATGAACTCAAAGAATCTTGTTACACCATACTCTATGAAAACACATGGCTTTTGGGTTCCATACTGTGAAGTTCCTGTTTAAGCATAGCAATGGTTGGGCAAAGACTTATGCTTACGTGAAACACTTCTTATTGAATGGGAGCATAATTCACAATTAAAGACATGCTATGCTGAGGCAAGTGCTAGACAAAGAATTTCCAAATGTGAGGTGCTCAATACAAGGCAAGAAAGGTTGGGAAAGCAAGTTTGATAACTCAAGGGTCTTGTGCAAAAAGAAGTAAAAAAAATTGGAGCATGTATTCTGGGATGAGACTACAAATAGAGGGGAAAGTAGGGTCTTGAATTTTTCTTGTAGAGTCGGAGGCAATTAACCTTTCAAGTATTTCTTATTATCTTTTATCAAGACGCTAACATCTTTGTTGTCCAGGGGCCTAGCATCCGGATAGGACGAGGCTAACCGGCCAGCACATAGAACGGCTAAACCGTCGGCAGTCGCGGGATCTAGACCTAGATCGCCAATGACTGGGTGCCTGAACTGTAAAAATCAAGGTCAAAATGATAAAAAGCTGCGAGTTAGAACAAAACCTAGTCATATGTAGCCAAACTAGGATGGAAATCAGACGAATCAGGACGAGTGATATACCTCGGTTTTAATTTCTGGGCAACAGTCAACAGTAAAGCTGTTGAGTGTGTTCTCCATAATGGTCGCAGTCAAGCTGAAAAGAGTGGATACAGCAAACAAAAATCAGCAACATATATTTCACGGACACGGATGAAGGCTTACTCTTTATATGGGACTACCAGTGCCAGTTTCCCCTGAGCGTCTTTCCCAAAGTACAAGACCTGGGCGCAGTGTTCGAGAAAGTGATCAGATTGACCGCGACAATGATTTGTTCACGAGATTGTCACTCACGCCGCAGGTTCCATACCCACTACTACTCCATCCATTTTGCGTCATCATCTGACCGGCGCTGAAACAACCCAGCAAAAAATGAATAAGTTGGTAAAAGAAAATAGAAGGTATCGGGTGAGAATTGGTTTAAGCTCTGAACCATCTACCGCTGACACTCATTCAAATCCAATGGATGATCATCCAGACAGTTGAAAATATTGGTGTTTGGATCATTGTCAGTGATTGGGGTACATTTACCTTGACGGGCCACGAGTCGGCTGGGTGGGCTATGGCCAAAACTCAAGGAAGTATATAAAGATATTAATGAAAGAACTATAATCATGAACTTCATCTTTGAACAGTAACCAATGTGTGCGCTGAGCAAATCTAGTGGGGTCGATAATTTGATCAAGATCGAGTGGCTTATAAAGCAAAGGATAACAAGTCACGGACTGTCACAGACATTCGAACAGCTTCACGTGAGCTGGCACGCGCTTATTCCACCTGAAGGTTGCGCACGGCTCTTCATTAGTAAAGGGATTACGAGCTGACATCCGAGGCGCTACGGTTACAGCCGAGGGTCCGATCGGTACGCGGACTCAAGGCTCATTCCCTTAATTTCTTTTAAAACCGCGGATCGTAAATCACGGTCAGACCCGCGCATTAGCGCGGAAATTACTTTTGTCGCAAAACCAAATCTTTGATTCCATTCAAGTAGAGCCACGGAGATAAGATTTACAAGCGCGGACGACACAAAAGCGGGCTGAGCGGCAAGAGACGGAAAGAAATCACGAAACTGACGAAATAAATGTACATGCCTCGAACAAGTGTAGGCCGGAAAGAAAGACGATTGAGCATAAGTAAGAAAATGTGACTTTTGAAGGAAACGTTGAAATGAGTACTTGAGCAAAAACGAAAAAACGGCTGCAAAAAAACCTTGAATGTAAGGACGAGTAAGCAAAAAGGAGAAAATAGGACTTTTAAGGATACGTTGGAATGAGGATGTGAGCGGAAGCGAAGAAAAGCAATTGCGAAAAAAACCTTGAAATGAGCATCTGAGCGAGAGCAAAGAAAAACGAGTGCGTGAAGAACCTTAATAAGAGCATCTATGTAGGAGACAAAAGAAATCTAGCGGTTCTGTTTCGTCGGCCTGTTTGTGCTATTAAAAATCCTGAGACGTGACAAAAAATACTCAGCGTGAGCGCGCATTGCGGCGACAAACGCATCATTATAGTCCAGAAGGTTAGTGCCTTCGTCTGCGAACGGGGCTTCGTGGTGGATTGCACGAAGTGCACTACAAATGGCCGCGAAGTCTTCCTTGCGCTTGAACAGGCGTCGGTCGAAAGCTCGCAAAGCGTCCTCCTCGGCGACTGAGAGGACTGACGGTCCCGTGTCGAAAGCGGCTTGGCTGGTAGTAGTCACTGTACGGGTGGAACTTGAGGTAGCATGTTGAGACGAAGCCGTGTGAGTAAGGCAGGATTCGGTGACGGTCCTCCCGGTGTTCAAGTTGTTGTATATGGCAGCTCTGCTGGGCATTGAGTCAGCGCCCGTTTTTTGGTGGAAAAATGTTTCACTTACACGGAAGGCCGTCGTGAGGTCCTTCAGTGACGAATGGCGCGGGATTTGTCGTGCCGTGTGGGCGATTGGCCGACTGCTGGTGAGATGACGCACCCGTAGCTGGATTGGTGACTTCGCGGCGATTTAAGTCCCTTGGAGCTGAAGGTTGTCGCCCCCTGTCCATTTTGTCAAGCAGGCCATCGATTTGTGAAGTAGTCACAGGTGCGGGTGTAATCTCGGGCGTGTGATGCATTGGTTGTCGACTGGTCGATGGTTGGGGTGGGTGGTACATTGGTTGGCGACTGGTGGATGGTTGGGGAGCGGGAGAACTACGATTCCCTGGTTGGGAAGGGTAGTTAGTGGACGTGCTTTGGAGAGCGCGTTGTAGCAAATTGTAATCGAGTTGGTAGGGCATTTGAGTTGGTGGTGGAGGGGGAGGGGCAAAGGACGCGGCGTTAGCATTGTTGGAAGTGTAAAAATGACGTCGGTGACTTGGTGACCCGATTGTTGAGGAAGTCACATTTGTACTGCCACAAGTGAGTTGTGAAGTGTTGAAAGATAGATTGAGTTGTGGTGAGTTCAGCTCAAATGACCGTACTGCACTGCGTTGCTGGGTGCGAGCAATATCACGTCCAAGTGGTGAGGTTGGGTACGGTGCGGCCGTTTGACGTGGAGGGTTTACAGCATGAACTGCAGGTTGTCGGGAAGGAGGTGTTGATTGAAGGTGGTTAGGATCATAAAAAAGGCGACCTATATAGGAGTCGCTGGAGGTTTCGGCGGATCGGGTGGTTGCGTTAGTGGTGTCATGGAGCCATTGGTCCGAGGTGACAGACATGCCGCGGTTGGGTGGAGCAATAGGCGCCGGCGCGTGTAATGGTGGTTGCTGATGGTGGTTTGGCTCATTAGCTGGGGTAGTGGTTTGACCGGCGCCGTTGAAAATGTAAGGTAAGGGCGCCGGCACCATTGGAGCGTAGCAAAAGCTACCAATTGGCAGGCCGGTAGTGGAAGGAGTGCGAGCGATTCCGGCGCTAGACCGATAAGGATTGATGGGAGGTGATGGAGGTGGAGTGTCGGGATGGACATTGGTCAAAGTCCTAACCACGATGTTGAAGGGTTCAACGATTCGTCGGAATTCAAACGGAGAACTTCCATCGTCGACTTCAGGGTTGGTCTCTAAGATATTGAAGCCAGTCTGCCGTGTGAGTACATACATATGTTTGCATGAGGACTTGTTTTTGAGGAAGTGTGTACAATTGCAGTTGTTGACGTAGCCGACTTTGCCGTCTTTAGGAGGCGTTGTGTTGACCGTGTACGTAGCCAACATGGGCCGTGTGAAGCTGCTTATTGTCCACTTGTTAAGATGGAGGAGTCAGAACGGTCTTGGCACAAGGACGAAAGAACTAGAATATGTATCTTACCTTGTTTTCTTTATAAGGTTGAATTGATACTCCAAGATCAGCGAGGTCACTGTTGCTGTACGTCTCCAACAAACCTTTGGCAATGTTTTGGTACTTCGTGGCGCGCTGAGGACGGAAGCCAAGGGTGGTGGTGAGGACACTTTGTCGGAAGTCAGGCTCGGCCTTGTCGACCAAGGTTTGGAGCAGATCGTCAGGTCGCCGGAGGGTATGGCGACTGAGGAAATTGTATTTCAAAACTCGATGATAACTTTCAGTGAAGTTATTTGTGTGGATACCTTGCATGGGAACATCCCTCTCGGACATCATGCAATGAGAATAGTTGTGTACCCATTGATGCTCAAAATATCAAACACTACACAAAATATAATATTTTCTGGGCAGAAAATTAAATTATTGATACACAAAAATATTGAGAGGCCAGGAGAAGGGCAAAAAATAAATAAAAATATGCATCTTGTTCCCTGCGGTGAGAGCTTCACTCTCCATATTTTTCCATATTTTTACAGTCCGTATTGATAAGTGTACTAACAATAAACCTTCACAATCATCCAATTACAACCTGTAACAAGCACTGAGATTTGGCTCATTAGTGTTTAGAGAAACTTTTGATTTCTGAAAACACCTATAACTTTGTCAAATCTGCCTCAAAACACTCGATTTTAAGTGCATTAGAAAGCTGAACTCTTCCTCTCAAACTTTCATAAGGTCAAGAACTATGTAGCTAGTATGACAATCATTCTATGGATCTGTATGTACAAATGTACAAAAAAGATTATATCTTTTTTAGCAGACCAGCATGCTGTGTGGTCCTATTATGAACTATTTGGAGGACAATTCCAGCTTACCAATGCACCCAAAATCGAGCGTTTTGGACCGGAATTGAAAAAGTTATGAGTATTTTCAGAAATCAAAAGTTTCTCTAAACACTAATGAGCCAAATCTCAGTGCTTGTTACAGGTTGTAATTGGATGATTGTGAAGGTTTATTGTTAGTACACTTATCAATACGGACTGTAAAAATATGGAAAAATATGGAGAGTGAAGCTCTCACCGCAGGGAACAAGATGCATATTTTTATTTATTTTTTGCCCTTCTCCTGGCCTCTCAATATTTTTGTGTATCAATAATTTAATTTTCTGCCCAGAAAATATTATCTTTCTTGTAGTGAAAGGAATTCAGGGTTGATGGTTCGATAATCGTGTTGAAATTTGAGAATCGCGTCTTGCCATCGCTTTGCATAAATCACCGCCATTGCAGCTGAGTGGTATTGCTTCACAGACTTCGTGCCTCCCTAGGTGGATAAAAGGGTTAGCCTATGAACCGCACGAACCTGAGATGTGGGCTAACTAACATATGTTTTTGCCTTGAGCTTGATAGCCCGGGAGACATGAAAGATGCACCAGTAATGTCTTGGTTTGAAGTTGCAGTTGGCGTAGGTGTCAACGACCGCTTTGGCGTAAGCTGGCACGCAATCGGTCATGAAAGCTTTCGGTAATAACTGAAATTCTGCCTTCATCCATTGCAAAAAGCTGCCGACAGTCTCGCTAAAGAATGAAAGTCAGGAGACAAAGTGTTGGACGAGAAGAGTGAATAGCTTACGCCTTCTCGTCGGTAGTCAAAAACCAAGCAACCGGTAGTCCACTGCCAGTTACCGGGTGACGAAGAACTATGGTAAGTAGAGTGAAGCTCGTTAAAGGCCACTCCGGTATACTGGAGCAAACGCCGTGCGTGGAGTCGAAGCAGAGAATGTCGTCTCCGTGGCGGCGGATTTGTTCTCTTTGCCATGGAGATAGGAACGCAACCGCTGCGGTTTGTGTCTCGGCGTTGGATGTGTTATTGACAAACCACCCTCGTTCTCGAAGACGGTCACACCACAAGTTGATTGAAGTTAGGACGTCGGAACTCAGATACTTCGTCTTCACTTTGAGACGGCGGATTGCATTGTTGACCCTGGTGCGGTCAATGTTAAGAGCCTCAGGCACGATACCTAAAGCCGCATTCTTGTCCTTGAGTAGATGTCAGCATTGTGCTTTAAGAGTCTTGCTGGGTGAATTCCACTTACTGGAAAAAGATCCGGACACGATAACAATCTTGAAATTGATCGCCACGTTAAGCCTGAGATGACTCGTTCATTCAACCACGTGGCGACAACGTCGGGCAAGCGCATGTTGCGCATGTCTTCGATTGAATATGGATTGTGGCGCTTATGTTCCCAGTACCACTCAAACTCAAGGTCGCCTGTGATTGTCTTGCAAATATGAAATTTAGCAGGACACTGAACGCGGACAGAGCCGCCGGAACGTCGAGTGGCGTTGGTGAGGGTCGGTTTGATGCGAGTAGAAGGTTTGCCTGAACAGTTACATAGCCAGGTCTTTGTCCATTCGTGACGTCGAGTAGGACCATGGCGAGGGCGAGGGGTGTCGGTCTCGAAAGCAAGCTGCTCAGTAGACTTCCTAGCTTGTCCATTGAATCGCTTTCCCTGATAAATCCATATGGAAGACAATGTCATGGCGAAAATTACGTCCTTCTCGATGCCGGCCTCGCGGGGTAGGCTGAGACGCACGACTTCAGTATCGAAGCGGGGTGGTTGGCGGGACGTGTCGCGAACGAAGCGATTAGAGATGCACAAGGGGAAAAGGTAGCCAGTCGTGTATATCGGCAGGAAAGTGATACGCATCCGCACTCGTGATGAGAGGAGATCGACGTCAGTCTACGTCGGCGTCCTCAATGATTGTGTACAAGCCGGGCCGTGACTTCGCCGTCTTCCCTGGTTTGTTTGGTCTCATTGCGGTGAAGTTCGTGATAACAAAGAGAAGTTGCAAAGTCTAGCGCAAGTATTCCGCTTCCAAGACAGAACAAACCCATCACCACTGTCTTCGTCCCTCCCAAACAGTCATCCTTGCGTCCGTTGTCTGAGCTCAAAAGCATCATTTGACCTCCTTTGCCCGCGAATCCCCTCTATCGTATTTGCGGTCACCGACGATGAGCGTCAGCACACCACAAGGAGCCTCAATTCGGCGCCTCTCTGACCTCAGCGGATCCAAAACCACCACTTTTGTCTGCACCCCCTCTTGTGTTACCGATCCTTGCCAAATGGATCATAAACACCACATTGGGGCCGAAAGAAGCAGGCAGGCGGCCCACGCTCACTTCACACCATCCCTTTCTCATATTCTCGCCTTCATCAATGCTCAACCGTCGGTCCCGGGCCTTCAGCACGCTCATCGCCAATAACGTCGCCGCCAGGGCTTCCAAGATCATCTCGTGCGTCGCTTACACCCCTCCCGGAATACCTTGTCTTTTAACTTACTTCGTCCGGGCTGTGGACCCCGGGGCCTAGGTTTTGCGGCCCTTACTCATTTCGTCACTTACAAAATCGTCATCAAACGATCATTCCCTTTTCGTCAGTTACCTCATCATTTTTGAGTGACAGATCGTGGACTTCCACGGTTTCAACTCAAACGGGCGTCTTTCCCACAGCGCTCGGCCAAAACGAATGCGGAATCTGACAACAACCTTCTGGTGGAATAAATTCAGGCCGTGAGCTGAAATTGTCATTTCCAATCCAGATTTTTCTCTCACAAAGCTCAAAGACCTTTGACGCAATCGCAATGGTGTGAACTTCCCTGCCCTCGGATAGAACAACGCACTCGAAGCGTGCCAGAGTCGTCGTGGGACTTTGTAGAGTTTGAGCCTCGGAAGCCTGTCCAGAAATTTCGGAACGGACAAAAAACAGGCTTGGCCTCGGCTAGTGGCAGTGCTGGAGACGAAATCCTAAATGTTGTAGAGTGTTGTGTGTACACGACTGCGCCACAGCAGATCACGTGACAGTTGTACAGCGTAGTGTAGATATAGTCTCTCCGCCTCGGCATCGGCTTCCACATCATCATCACTTGTGGAGCCGAAGCCGTGGACGTGAGCTAACCTTGCCGGTCGACTTATCCGTTATAGGTAATATATCATCATCACTTGTGGAGCCGAAGCCGTGGACGTGAGCTAACCTTGCCGGTCGACTTATCCGTTATAGGTTATGAGCCTGCGTTACCTCACGATAATACTCGAGTAGTCCCTTTTGTCGTCGTAATCGCACTCACCGTATAAGCCTGAGCCGCCACTCAGCATCGAATTTTTCACATGCTGTTAGCCCAAAGTCCAAAGCAATCAGCTTCAGGATCCACAACCCGTTCTCGAAGCAATCAACCTTGTTTGACATCTCGTTCGGAATCTTGCACTCGAATCGTAAACGAAAACGAAAACGAATACCAATCTGACCGTAACCAAACTGAGAACGAAGATCGTACCCGTGATAAATCTGCCGACGTAGAAGATCAGCAAGAAACCAACACCCGACAAAACACTCCTAACCCTGCTTTAATTTTTAAAAATCCTAATCCCGCTTCTGTATTTTCGCAACCTCCACTTGATCCCCGTAGTTTCATTCTTCCTCCATCCAGTCGTGATCCAGAAGAAGACGATACCGATCCTGCAGACCAAACCATCAGTTTTCGAAGTCACAAACGCCGAGGACCTGTGTATCGATCCCGTGAATCGTCACCCGATATGTCCGAGATCATGGACGAACGTTGCAAAGAGCTCGATAACAAACACGATAACGTCAAGAAATTTATCGAAGGTATCGAGGTACTTGCTTTAGATGGATTGAATCTTGCTAGATGGAAGATACGAACTGAAAGAGCTATTTATGACATGACCGGTGTATCCGACTACTGGCTCACTAAGAGTATTGATCAAGCGAACCCAGTAGAAATGAAAATCAACCGTTGTGCTGGAAGAGTAATCATGAGTACCATTGCAGAAGAGCTGAAAGACATGATTTATAAGAAGGCTATCGCGCATGAAGCGTTACATGTTTTAGAGGAAATGTTTCATCAAGGAGGAAGAACAGCTCAATACGTTATTTTTCGCAAAATTATGTTACGAACTTTCAATCCCGCTACAACTGATCTTATGACGTTCATCAATGAGGTTAATCAAGATTTTGAAAAGCTCAAGTCGGTCGGGTTCAGCTGGGATGAAGATATCGTCAAGGGAATGGTGTTTCAACTCTGCTCGCCCACATCGGGAGAGTATGGTATGGATGTGGTGAACGGAATACTCGACGCACGATACCGAACCAATAAATCACCCTTCACTTCATCTGAAATTCGTTCAACTATGCAAAATGTCATCACAACTCGAAAAACAATCAACGAAAACGATATGAGCGTGAACGCCCTGACTTCATCTTTTCAGAAGATGACACCTGCGAAATGGTCTAAGCCTTGACAGCCGTATTCTAGTCCATCTACATACTCGAGTTCCTCTTATCAGCCTCCTCAACGTAAAGCGCAAGCTTTGCGTGGACCGCCACCACCACCACCTATGTTTAAGACATCGGCAGCACGAGATGCGACTGAAACGTCACCAATCGAACCGTCAAGCAAATCATGCGATGAGGTACATAAACGTATTTGGCAATGTTTTCATTGTGCGGAGTTCGGCCACGGTAAAGATCACTGTCCTGTTTATAAACGCTTTCAAGCACGAACGGCACCCCACTTTAACGACTGGGTGAAATGTTCAAACGGAATCAGCTATACTCGCAAGGCGGTATTTGGATCCGCAACGTACGGTGTTCCTACATCGGTCGTTCAGGCCCATCAAGCGCAACTCGATCTCAATCCCCCTCCTCCTTCAGCTCCATCACAAGTGTCCGCCTCAACAGTGGCATGGAGTGCTGAAGGTAACGAGCTCGACGAGACTCCAACGGAGTATCTGGTGGACAGTGGTGCTACCCACCATGTGAGCAACGCTCTATCCTCTCTAACCAATTATGAAACTCTCTCTACCCCAATCAAGCTGAACACAGCTGCTCACGGTGACACGGCTTACATAGTAGGCAGAGGTTCGTTACGAGTGAAGACTTCGGACGGTACCGATTTCGACATTACTGAAGTATACTACAGCCCTCAAGCAACAAACACCCTGATTTCTCAAGCGGCCCTGGTGGAGCAAGGTGCAAAATTATGGTTCTGGGGGAAGGATATGGTGATCAGACTTCAGAATGGCAAATCTATCGTAGCGGTGTATAAAGATAGGAAGTGGTTGATTAATGCAATGAAACCATATGTTTGTCACGAACAAGAACCTGAGAGGGTCGGTAAAATTGAAGTTCTGAACGCTGAGAAGGATGTAGACCTTGCGTACCTTTGGCATAGAAGATTTGGTCACGTAGACATGAAACGTATCCGTAAGCTATGTGTGAATCAACTAGGACTGGGCCTTCCTAAGTCCATCCCAACAGCCTCTTTCACCTGTGAGGATTGTTTGACTTGCAAAAGCACCCGACAGCGAAAGTTAGGCTGTACAGGCCGAGAGCTGGGAATGCTTGACGTCATTGTGTCGGATGTCATGGGGCCTTTTCCGGAAGACGTCAACGGCAACCGATTCACCGTCACCTTCAGAGATGTTGCAACCACATTTTCGGACATTGTCATTATCAAGAACAAATCTGACGTACCTGAAACATTCACGAAGGTCATCAATCGATGGGAACGTGAGACGGGTTTTAAAGTCAAGCATGTCAGGACTGATGGCGGGGGGGAGTATGTGAAGACAACGTTTAGCAACTGGCTAAAAGGAAAGGGGATCGTACATGAACATTCAAATCCTTACGAACCTGAACAGAACGGAGTAGCAGAACGCCTGAACCGAACAATCAGTGACATGGGTAGGACGATGCTGGCGGCATCTCACCTTCCTCAGACCTTCTGGTCTTTTGCTTATCTTGCAGCTTGCTATTTGCACAATCGATTGCCTAACTCACTCACCGGCGATAAGACTCCTTTTGAACTCTTTTATGGACGAAAACCCCAACTTGACATAATTCGCACTTTTGGTTCTACCGCATTTATTCACCGTCACGCAGGACAACACCACGGAAAGCTGGATGATCGTGGGAGGAAATGTGTTATGATAGGATACGTTGACGGTGGGAAGGGGTGGTTATTTTACGATCCCGGATCCAAGGTGTTACTCAAGACTGGTATCGCAGTGTTCCCTTATGAGGACAAATTCGTTCATACCTCTACAGAAACTCCGAAAGCGACATCCTCAGATTCACTTAATAAAATTCTGAACGACCCACCAAAGAAAGGTAGTCTAGAGTTCATCGTCAATGCGTTAACACTTGGAGATTTTACGGCTGAACGTCTCGTACAAGACGAAGATGCCCAAACCAAAAACATCATGTCACAGATTAATCTCTCATCCTGTTTAAAAGAACCGAAGAACTACAGCTCAGCAATGAAAGACCAGTATGCCAAACAGTGGAAGAGCGCAATCGATATTGAACTTCAAGCAATGGAGGATATGGGAGTGTGGAAGATAGTTGACCGACCTGAGAACGTGACACCTTTAGGACTCAAGTGGGTTTTTACTTTCAAGAAGTTAGACGAGAAAGGTGTTCCCGTCAAGTTTAAAGCAAGACTAGTAGCTCAAGGCTTCAACCAGCGTGAGGGTATAGATTACGATGAAACTTTCGCACCGACTGCTTGTGTTGCATCTTTGAGATTTCTACTGACTCTGGCAGCAAGGATGGGTTGGGAAGTTCACTCTTTTGATGTAACGGCGGCATATTTACATAGTGATATTACAAACAAAATTTATTTCAAACTACCTCCTGGTGTGGTGAGTGAAGCACGTAAGGCAAACAAGATCTTAGAAGCAATTAAGGCTCTTTACGGAACAAAGCAAGGTGCTAGATGCTGGTGGAAACATTTTGAGAAGATTTTGAAGAAGTTAGGATTTAAACCAAGTCAATTTGATCAATCATTATATGTATGTAGACGAGGGGAAGAAGTGTGTATTGCATGGGTGCATGTAGACGATGGAGCCGTT